TATAATAATAAATAATAATAACAAAATATATTATAATAATTATATTTTTTAATATTATTTTATTAATATTTATGAAAGTGTTATTATTTTAATTTTATAAACATGCATTATTTTATTTTTTTTTATTTCCACTTTTTGATGTTAATATTTAAATAATAAAATTTTCTTAATATAAAAAAATGTACAATAAAATTTTTGAAAGTTAATTAATAAATTAAAAAAATTGATAAATTATTGACATAAATTAAAATGAAATGAAGATATATTTATTAATTGTACAATTTAATTTTTATCAATTAAAAAATTAAGAAATTTTTAACATGTTGCATTTTTAAGAAACTGGAACGACCCGTTCTGGGTTAGGGTTTTTAAGTCAATTTACTAGTTTGGAACGACCCGTTCTAGTGTCGGAACGACCCATTCTAGTTTCGGAACGGCCCGTTCCAGGCTACTAAAATACCCTTATTTTTGTAATTTGGAACGGGCCGTTCCAGTTTTAGAACGACCCGTTTTGGACACGCCTGAAAGCAAAAAAATGGCACATAATCGATTATGTATGGCACATAATCGATTATGTGCCATGCATAATCGATTATGCTGGCCCATAATCGATTATGTGCCACCATAATCGATTATGTATGGCACATATGCCTGAAAGCGAAAAAATGGCACATAATCGATTATGTATGGCACATAATCAATTATGTGTCATGCATAATCGATTATGTTGGCACATAATCGATTATGTGCTATGCATAATCGATTATGCTAGTATATAATCGATTATGTTTCCCTTCATAATTGATTATTCACGTAATTTTCAGAAGGATTTTTACGTCTTCAATCCTTGTCAACGTGGCTTTCTTCGCTTCTTCATGATTTATTGAAGAAGTCTCTATACACCTCTCCAGCTTTTCTTTTTTCGTATTTTACTACAAACAAACACATTCTATTTTTGCCTTTCCTTCGTCATGTACGGTAGATCAGTGGAAGTAAAAAGGGGCTTAATGCTGATGGATTATATTATATTATATTTTTGTGTTTGTCATTTATTTGTTTTGTTGTTGGGCAGCGGTACTGGAAATGAAAGGTAAGAGAGGCACACGGAAGGTGTTCCCTAAATTTACATGTCAGCAAGCAACACAAATCCATCACTCAACTCAAGGATCGATTGATGGCCTGTGCCCCAAGTGCTAAAGGTGCTTTCCAAATCTTAACCCGGTAGTTGGGATTATTATTATTATTATTACAGGTGCAGTTTTACCATTCATATAAAAAAGTATTACTTGTATTGAAATAGGTTATTTATTTTTTAATATTGACCCAAGATTTCAGACTTGAGACAAGAGTGGCGCAGAAACTGTAACGAATTGTCCTTTGGGGTTGCGTGTTGGAGAGAAAATATTTCCGGATGATACCTGGACAAATTTTTATAGCAGAGCAGAGACTCCCTATGCTGATACGATACCCTCTTCAGTTTAGGCCATGCCGGATTCCAAAATTCTTTTTGCTATTTTTCAAACTCAGTTAATGCACGTCCACTCACATCTTCAACTAATATAAAAACTCACTCTATCTCATCAAATCTTTTATTGCATATTTACACTGTTAATCTTTACCAACTTATTGTGGTGCACATATTATGAACAGGTAAGTGATAAGAAACTAAATGATTCTGGTTACAGAATTGTAGTTTTCATCATGCATCTCTATACTCTATATTACTTGGGGTCTTTTTGAATGACAATTATAACTGAAATACAATTGTCACTAGGTTAATTTTATACGTGACTCCCAAGCTATATAAAAGATATAATATGGATTTATGCTTAATTAATTACTCACTTTAGAGGATCCATATTCTATATATTAAAGTAAGGTGTTTACTCCTTGTCCAACATGAGATTGGAACGTTAGCTGAAAATTGTGGTTAACTTAACAAACGAACCTTTATATATATAGTTGTAGTATTGGTGGCTGGATTATATCATGCGTGGATGTGGTGTAGTGTCTGATGTGTGTGCTTTTTTCTTTTCCCTTTTTTCTTTTTCTCCTTTTTTATCTCATAGACCCTAAAACCCACTTGCTAATCCTTTGATCACGATTGATGTGGAGATTATATCTTGTGTTTGTTGATGATGAAAGAATAAAATATTAGAGTCCCCTTGAACATTCCAATTATCATGAGTGGATTATAAGTTGAAAACCTCATATAGTCTTGAAAAGTAAACGCAACTTTACCCTGTTTTGCTCCCAAGTGGTTAAATGTCTCTCTCTCTCTCTCTCGTCCCTCGATCATGAAGGGATAAAGAAAACAAAGCTGACCAAAAGACAAAGCAAGAAACAAAAAAGATAGCCATCCCCAATTAGTTGCCTCTGTTTTACACTACAAAATATAAAGCGCACTGGGTTATTTTTTTGTATATATATTTTTTTTTCATTTGATGTAGTAAAAAGCTTACTATCCTAAAACATACTATATATTGCATTTTTGATGTATAAAGTATTTTATTAACAACAATTGATGAGAAAGTCTTTGAAATAATGTTGTTCCGTGTTAAATATGTGGGAAAAGAGGAAATAATGTCATTTTCCGTAAATATGATAAAAGTATGGGGGCTTATCTCAGAGATTTGGATAGCAGTGATGGGTATTTTGGAACATACCCGTAGGGGAAAATGACATGTCCCACGACGTTTCCTTATTGACACACACAAGCGATGTCACGTGTCGCTCCTCCATCCCATGATCCCACAATTCGTGGGGCCCGCGTGTACGGCGAACCTTATCTCTAGGAGAATCGAGATCCAGAGGCCACGTCACGTGTTCCCACGTGGTTCGCGATTAGATGGACGGCCCAGATGCCTTCCCAAGCCCACCACTTGTTGGGCCTTTAGCCCTTGGCCGTCGTTAAATATTCATCTCATGCAGCGTAGTCCCGGAACCTGCTCACTGGATCGGATCCCATGGGCCTCCTCGATCACTTGTGGGACGACACCGTCGCCGGTCCTCGCCCGGAGAACGGCCTCGGCAAGCTCCGAAAGCACCACACCTTCGCCTTCCGATCTGGCTCCGCCAAGGGTACGCACCGCATGCATGCCCCTTCATTTGGCTTCAGCCTCCGCTCAACTTTCACCAATTAATTTTACTTACTCAAATGACACAACAAAGAGAACCCGAACATGAATATTGTTTATATTTTAATTTAAATTAATTAAAATATGTGTATCCTAATTAACGTGAAGGCGTTGTTGTGGTGGATCAGAGTCAGAGAGCGGAAGCGTGAAACCCTACGGCGAGGATACGGCGGAGGACGCGGTGAGAGTGACGCGTAGTATCATGATCGTGAAACCGCCGGGATACCAGAGCCAGAGTCAGAGTGGATCGGCTCCGGTTTCCCCCGCCGGTTCGACTCCTCCGGTTTCTCCGTTTTCGGGTAAGGTCGTATTTTACTTTTCTACTTTGACCTTGCATTGGATTTTGAACTGCGCCAAAGTCGAGTGACACTGTGAGAGTGTGTGTGTGTGTGTGAATGGAAGGGATGTTCTAGAGTTGTGTGTAAGGGTAATTTTGTCCTTTCAGATGGGGTGGTTGTTAATTAAAAAAATAATACTAGTGTGCAATAATTAATATCTTTTTTTACAACCACGGAGGATAGATAGTGTTGAGTAGGGTTAGTCGATCATGATGGCTGTTTTTGTTTCCTTTCCACGCATACCGGACAATGAAAAGGATATGCACAACGCGCTAGCTTATCCAGCTACACGTAATGTAATAACAATTACAATAGTTTCATAATGTACAGAAAACAACAAGATTTAATAAGTGTTACAGGTGATTTGAGAAAATAATACCGATATAAGTTGATTGAATAATATGAATTGTACAAATATTATGGTTAATAATTCTAAATGTTAAATATACAATTATTATGAGCGTTCTTCATTATTTAGGTTCGAACCGGTATCAAGTAGCTTGTGTTGCATATAGTAAAAGGATTAATATTTGACATTAAAAGCATATTTAGATATAAAGTTTAAAATATTTTTAAAAGTAATTTTTATTAATATCTAAACAGATTCTAAATCATCTCTTAAACCTTAGTTTAAGGAATCTTCAAATCTTATTGTAAAGCAAAAGCAGCTGGATATTAATTATCTAGTACTGCATGAAAGTTTTTGTAGAAGATGCTGTCGATGATGTAAATATACGCACTAATAGTAGTATATGTGCAAGAGATGGACATGGTGTCCGTTAATAAAGTTGTATAGTGTTCCAATCCTAGATAGGAAATGGATTATGTTAGCGTGTGTGCATCTTTATAGTTTGAGTCTCTGACACTATGGTTTCTTATTCCCTATATGTAATTTAAGAAACGGTCTGAATTTGATAATTAACCGCGAATGGCAGAAAACTGAAGTGCAACATTTTGTAATCTAGATGATCAAAAGTTGAGCAAGTTAATACGTCGATAATGAATTTTTGGTATGCAATATTGCAATAAAGAATATAGCATGATATACTGATGTGTGTATGTGTGTTTGGTATTGATAGGAGGTAGAGAGTCCTTCCGTTTTCGGAGAAGGTCGACATCAGATGCGTACGAGAAGACAGGCCAGAACAGACCAAACTCTTCTTCTCCTTTCGATGTGTGAGAAATGAGTCTGGTCACTTTCTCCTCTGTGGAAGATAATAGTTTGTTTTCCACTGGCCTTTGCTACGCTGTGTCCATTTTTGTTTAGCTTTTGTACATATGAATGTTTATGAGTTCATGAGTTGAGTGGTTGAAGTCCTGGGATGATGTGTGGTTTAAAAGCTCAGTGTTAATTGTTTAGTTTAGTGTTGAAGTGCTTACTATGGTTCATAAGCTAGCTGTAAATAAGTAACAACGCATAGTAGTGTAGGTGTGTTTTGTTATGTATAAGAGCCCTTCTTCCGAGGTTTGTTAATTAGAATGTTGGTGTTTGCTTTCAAGCTCTAGCATCCTATTTGTGAGTATTTTCGAGTTTCATGCTGAATAATTGGTTTTAACGAAGCACAAAGAGAAGGAGGTGAACATAAAAAGTTGAGAATGGTCCAATGTGGAAAGTAATCGTGTCTTTATGGATGGGTGCTGAGTTCTGTGCATACGACACTTAATAATGGAGCATCGTCTTCAAGGATGGCTTGAAGGGACACTCTCTAATGGGGCTTGGCCCACGGATATTATTGAATATCTACATGTCTTTATGTCGAAACGTCATTTTTCTAAACAAAATTTTCAAACAAGTTATTATGTAACTGAAAACGTGGCTTTTATTTATGCTGCTAGGGTTCATTTTTAGTTTTAAGTTTTTCAATTTTTTTAAAAACTAAATGTGTTTTTAATTTTAATCGGAAAATTTTAGTTTCAATTTTAAAATGTTAGTGTCAACTTTCTAATTTTTCTTTAAAAAGTTCTCAACAAAATAATAATAATAATAAATTCATAACAATAATATTTTTGGTAATAATTATAGTTTGGTAATAATAATTAATAATAAGAACAATTTTAATAATAATAATAATTTTTTTTATAATAATAACAAGAATGACAGTAATTTTATTTTAGCACTATAAGTTTTTAACAATAACTTTCATAATAATAATAAGTCCGATCTTGACAAAACGACGGTGATGAAATTTAACAATGTAAAAAAAAAAAAAATTCACGGGTTTAAGATAAGGCTTAAAACTGTTGAAAATGACTTAATTGTGGTTTTTAAAGCCATTTTACGCATACCCATTTTATTTTAAAAATAAGATTTGAAATTTTAAAAACTAAAATTCAATACCACTCACTCTTAAGTTTCAATATAATATTTAGTTGTGGTTTCGGTAAACAGAATTTCGTAGATATATCTTTAAAAATTAAAAATAAATTAATTCCTATATATTACACAACAACGTTTTTACAAATTATTTTTTTAACGTAAGAATTTTTTTAGTGATTCTCTAACTTGTTATTTAATTCAATTTCATATTTATTCATGAATTAAATTTTAATATTTTTAAAATAAATTATAAATAGATAAAATAATTTTGTATTAAAATATAAATTATATATTATAAATCTAAATTATTTATTTATTAAATTTAAATATAACTTATATATTTAAGCATAGTAATTATTCGTATACATAATTTATTTTAAATTTTAATTATATATTAACATTTAACCTATGCATTATTGAAACTTTATTCGTATGCGAGTAGCCATATATGTACGTCGATGTCAACTATTTACAAATTTCATACAAAGGATGAATGTGATAAGTAGACAAGATTTTTATTTTATCCTTAACTACATTTTTGGGGAAGGAAATAAGTGTTGAGTGGGTCGACAAAATTTTAAATTGATAAATTGCTTTGTAATCTGTTTAAAGTGTAATACTCGGATTTTTTAAAATATTATTAAAAAATATTAATTAAATGAGTTTTATAAATATTTTAATTTTTTTTAATAATTATGAGTATTTTTAGTTAATAAAGAAGATTTGTGAAATTATTTTGTATAGAAAGTATTTAGAGAAATATATGTTTTAATTAATTATGTAATTAAATGTATTTTGAAAAAATATGTCTTATATATTTAATTTATTTATAATTGGGTTGAGAGAAATATGTTTATTTTATATATTATCTATTTATATGTTTTTAATATTTTAAAGGAAGGGAAGTTTAATTATGACTTAATTATTTTACCGAAGGATTAAATGTGGGGTAAGGAGTTGAGAAGGGCTACATTAATTTATGTTTTGCACTTTTCATTTTTTTTCTTCACTTTATGTTATGTGCTTTGAAGAATTAGGAGAACTAGAGTTCACTGGAGATCACCTTAGAGATTTACGCCCTTCTTCTAGTGTCGATAAAGGTAATGGATGAGTGAGTAGTCTCGTTCTATGTGTGAAATATATGTTGAGTAATGATTTTGACTTCTAATATCTTGTTTGTTCATGTATGTTGTGAATGAATAATTATAATTCTAATTTAAAAACTATGATTTTTGTCTCTAATTTCTATAGGAAACCCTCGATTTATAAAGTAAGGTAAAAATCGATGTTAATTATATGAATAAGTGAAGTTGATGTTGGATTTAAGTAATTAATGGTACAATAAAGTAATATTAGGCTTCATTTGTACTTTTTATCGATTGGTTTGGATATTTGAGATTTGGGATTTGTCGTGTGTGATTTTTGCACATCTTGCAAGTATCTCGGGAATTGGTATCATGCTAGGTACCATTTATCATTATTCTTGCATTATTTTGTATTGAGCATGATCTCGATCACAATGGGCATAAGTATTGTAGAGAAGGTTTTGTCCTTTTTGTGTTGAGCATGAAAATCATTGTATTAGACATAATAATGTTACATATAAATAATAATTATCAATATTAAACATTTAAAATAAAAATTAAGTTAAATTAAGATTTTATTATCTCTTAAAAATTATTTTTAACCTTTAACTATAAATCACACGCAATCTTTTAAATTTGATAAATTTTTTTTAATCTATTAAATTCTTTTAAATTTAAATTTTAATTATTTATAGGTTTTACCAAACAAAATATGCTCTGTTATCATTATTTTAATTGAGATTCCAAACAGATCTTACTTTTTTAAGAGATTGACAGTAAATGATATTATGAGAGTGAGAGTTTAAATAGTAAAACAAGGGGTGTGAATTGCAAATGTTTTTAGGCCTTCCTTGATGTATTAACGGATTTCTTCTATGGTAATTTTTTGATGAAATCGTTAGTGTCACTGTTTGGGTTCAATTGCAGCGTGTTCGTGTAAAGTCGTTGGTGTTGGAGACTTGATGAAATCAAGGTCATACTATGGTATGGATTGGAAGCAGCACCGGACCCAAGAACATGGAATATGCCTTCCTGCTTTTCCTCTTCTTCTTCCATATCTTCCTTTCTCGCTCCTCTGGTTCGTTACCTTCTCTCTTTCAACATCTTCCCTTTTAAAAAAAACTTATTTTGATTCGCAAATTGATCATGTTTAGATTTGATGTTAAGCTTAAGCAAGGATACCCGGATGTAAAAAGGGGAAATTGTTTTTCCCTTTTCGAATTACTGTGTAGTTTGAATAGTTAGTAGTGTTAAGTGTGACAGTTTGGGATCCGACCAATTCTTAAATTTTGCTCCTTTCTGATACTCTGGCGTGGTTATATGAATTCCCTTCTTAAATTTCTCTTGGTTGGGGTAATTAAGGGATGAAAGGTTGTGTTTTTAAGTTGGTGTTACGAGGTTAATTTTTTATTGGTAGTACCTTGACGCACACAGGCAGGGCATGCAATAGGTCGTTGATCTTTGATCTCATTTGCGTCATTCCATTTCTCTCAGATAGGGGATTCTATCTGATCTAAACCACCCAATGTAACATAAGTCACGCTGTATTTTGGCCGTCCATTGTGTTAGTGAAGTATTCTCAAAAGGGCAGTCTTAATGGAACTAATTTATAGGCTCAGGTGTTGATGTAAATGAAAAATGGGGTTGTGGAGGTTCCAAATTTTATACTAGAAAAGCTCGCTCCAGCTAACCATAAACCTGAATTTTGTTTAGAACTTGGGGTAAACTGATGTACCATGGATTTTATACTATATGATTATGATACATGAACGTACTTACTTGCATATGCACACATAGACCAATGCGGTCTATCAATGTCTTTGCCATTCAACTTAACTTGTTGGGATCATTTTTTCATCCTTGTTTCTGCACACTTCTTATTTCAACTGAAGCTAAAATGGGCATGCTTGTCATTACTGTATGCACATCATGTAGTAAGCATGGTTTTGTTGGAAAATTATCACGGTAATAAATACTGATCATAAATTCACAATGAGTAGTGAACTACTTTGTTTAGTGTAAGCATATTGTGGAATGTGGATGATATAATTGGTAGAATATGGATAGGGGTCACTTTTCTGTCATCACAATCTGCCATGTAATTAAATTTTTATTACATGTTTTGCGTTCTTTGTTTGCAAGTAATAATGTGTATAATGTAATAGAGCCGAGTAGAGTGCCTTTTAAAAAAGTTGGGGTTTTAATGCACCTTGTGATCAAATGTGTAACAACCAGCTGGTTATACAGTTGAACAAAGTATATACTCAATTGTGGTATCTGACAAATTGTTTTGCTAGGTCAATGTTTTTATCTTATTTTATCTTGCATGTTACTGCTCCATAGTTATATTAAATTATAGCAGAATAGTATTCGTGTATGCATTTAGTTTTCAATTCTCCTCATCTTTTCTGAATGCAGGTAAACCCAGTGGAGTGTGTGTTTCTCAAGGAGGTCGCTTTCCTCCCTTCAAATCAGAGGGTAACCCTCCCAAAAGGGGCCCTAAAGATTTGTTCCTTTGCCGGATTTTTCGCAAAAAGACTTGCTGTGATGTAACCCATACACATCCTGCACTGCTGTCTGTAAGGAAGCTTGTTTCTACCGGGGAAGCTAGCCAAGAGTGTTTGCACTTATGGGAACTGCTGGAATGTTCCGTATGTGATCCACGTGTTGGTACACAGCCTGGACCTCCTCTTATTTGTGCATCTTTATGTGAGAGAATATATGAGGCATGCTCAAATGCTTACTTCTCTATGGATGTGAAAACACAGGTATGTGGGTGACTGCCCCTTTTTCAAATTTGTTTACATAAGATTATGGAAACAGGTTTAGAGTCCTGCATCTGTTGGTGATGGAACAAAAGTTTCCATATTTTTCCATTTAGGTTTTGCAGTCATTTTGTTTACTTCTTTAATTTTATTTTCAAGCATTCATTTGATAAGCTGTTGTGCAGTGCAGGACAGTTCACATGGTTAATTTGTTGTTAATATTTTATAGCAGAATGTTGCTTGTGTTTAGATCATCTGCCATAAGTGTTTTTTGTAGGATAGAGAATTTGGTATGTTTATGTTTGCCTTTTTAATACCAGAACATGGAATTTTAACTTGTCTCTTTGTACCCATTTTTTGGATTGATTTTAAAACCCAGATTCTTGCACCTTGTGGAGTAAATGACTTTGTATGTGGTAGAGCTGCTGAATGGGTCTCCAATGGTACAGATCTTTGTCTTGCCGCAGGTTTTCGAGTAAAACCATCCGATATTGTACACATTGCCTCAGAAGAAACTTCTTGCTATGGAGATAAAGCAAGTCTAGGTTCTGTTGCTGATTCATGGAAGGCTTCACAGTTTGAGTTGACCCGGGAGGGTGAGAGCTTGTGGATGTTGGATGATTTCCAACAATGGGTGAAGAAAATGCCATTTGGTGAAAGAGTTTCTTGGGCTATAGGAGGGATGGTTCTAACAGCAGGCTTGGTTTTTATAAGGTCAGAAAGCAGTCCTTTTTCTTTTGTATCATTGAGTAGCTGTGCATTTTTGTATGCCCTTGTGTGGTCAAAATATTAAGCAAGTGAAAAAGGACAAAATTTGTTAGAAATGTGGATTATTAGGAGTTGTTCTTCTTCATGTTTTTCTTTTTCTAAGTATTGTTTTAAGAGTTTAATGGTCATATACCGTCAGGTTAAAAAGCTTTACACTATAACTAACCATTAATCAGTGTTCGTATAACTTTAAGATAGTTATTGTAAAAATCAGCAAACTTATTATTCATGATTGTTTGTGATTAAATGTCAATGTAAAACTACCTTATAATTGTCAAGCTGCATATAGTTGTGATGAAATCTAATGCAGTTGCATCTTAAACAGAATATTGTATTTTGTTTCTACTTTGTTTGCAGAATTGGTTCTCCCTCTATCTTTATTGTTGGAATGATGGTTATCTTCTATTTATGTATGATAATCATGCAGCAAAAGGAAAAGCCATAACCAACGGCAGAAACTAGCAGCTATAAGGCGAACTGCAAGGAGGCTGGAAGGCAGGATGGTGGAGCAACGGCCTTCTAATGCTCAAGAACATAGGAGAAGAATTTCCAGATGAGTGTCCCCTTGTATGTGACGTTGAGAACATAATTAGTTTTGCTAATTTGTAGGTGAATCTCGAGTTTCTTTTGTTATTATAAATTTATAATCAAAATGAACTCTTGCTTTTCACGTTCTTTCCTTGTATTTTTCACGATCTTTTTCCCTTCAAAATGGGTTTTGTTTTAGACCATATACCTTGGTTTTATAGACAATATACGTTTGTTTTAGACCAGTTTTTTAGGCAATCAAAATATTCACTACCTTTTGTAATAACAAATCTTTGATGTTGATCCTGTTTAATTACATTTAGTGAGATGTTCTTTTAATTATATATATTTTTTATCCACATATTAAAACTATATTTTAGTTGAGAAAACCGAGTTTAGTCTCAGAACAACAATTAAAAGAGTAGAAAAAAAATTGTTTTTGGTCTTTAAGATACGCTTGATTATAATATTTATTTTAAAAGTTTTAAAATTTTTTATTATAAACTTATTTTGAGATAATTTCTGAAAAAAAATCTCTTCCAATTTACTTTTGAGAAAAGTTAATTTTATAAAATTAAAGATGAATTGTTTCAGTTAATTTATTCTTTTCACTTTAAATTCAAACAAAATTAATTATAACTAGTTTGGTTTTTGAACTACGTCAATAACTTAATAAACAAATTTAAATTTTAGATAAAATATTTTAGACTTTATAGTACTTAGTTTTTTCTTCTGCTTTTGCCTTTTATTTATTTTGATTTTTAATAATCTTATTTGATGTTATCAATCGTATTAATTTGATTATATATTTACATAATTCTCAATCATGTTTTGGATAGAGTTTAATGAAATATTTAAAATGACAAGAATAAATATTTATTCATTAAGGAATAAGAACATTTTTTTTTTAACTTTACATTAATATAAAATTTAAAATTGATATTACAAAACAAGTCGAAATATAGACTTGAAAAAATATAGTGATTTTTTTTTTATCATAGTTTTATATCTGAATTCCGATTTGGCAAAAAAAAAAAGAGAGAAAATAATTCAAACCTGAAATAATTAATTAAATATGACAAGTTGAAAATTGATTTAACCTTAATTCAAACCGATCCAACTCATAAACATCCCTGCACATTAATTAAACCTTCAATCTATTTAACTATCAATATTTGTTACAACATAACATATTATATTTCTAGAAATCGTATTTCAATAATATTTTAACTAAAATCTTATTTCGGGTTTATTTAGAAAACATATTTTTTTTATATTATAATATTCTCTGAAATATGTTTAGAGTTAATCACCTATACACTGTCAGTGTAAAATTTTTTTACATTGACAACCAATCATATCTTTTAATAGTATTATGTCAGTTGCTTATTTAATGAAATAATAATAAAATAAGCAATTTTGAAAAATATGATTTGTTGCTAGTATAAAAAACTTTACACTAGCAGTGTATAGATGATTAACTTATATTTTTATTATTTAAAATAACTTAAATTAAAATCAATTTGCAAAAGAAAGTTATAAGTGTATTAAAATATAAATTCCAATATTCTCCTAGAAATATCACTTTTGCACCCCTTAAGATGTGAATAAAAGTGTAAGAGAAGATCATTGGATCGCTTTCTAAAAATCGAAGAATACTCAGCAATAATCCTTTAAAGTCCGTATCAATATCATATATCATATTACATTTTTGTGAATCAACTTTTAATCTCGGAAACAAACACACATTTGTAATTAATGCCCCAGCTCCCCGCTCAACAAATTCTACACTACGGAGAAGAAGGACATGTTTATTTTTCTTGAACAAGAAGAGAGCTAGTAAGCAATAATTCACTCTCCATGTATAAATTATAATATATTTTTTCTTTATAACTATTTCACTCTTTTGTTACATTCATTCTTATTTGAATAGTGTCCTTTCAAGAAAAAATAAACTTTATTTTTTTAACGTATTATCGTCTCATATTTTTTTAATATCAAATAGACAATTTATTATATGGCAAGTAATTTAAAAAAAAAACTATTGTATTCTTTATTTAAAAGCTAAAGACTAATCCCTAAAGATATTAAGATTTATTTAAAGGTTGATATCTTCAGATTAATTTTTTTATATATACATGATTAGATATCAAATTCCTAATATAGTAAGTAGTAACTGAATATCAAAATGAAATATCCATTTTATCTTCAAAATTTAGATATTATTATTCTGCATCATTTTATATTTATTTTAATATTTTTAAAACTTTTTTAATCTCTTTAAATATACCATTTTGTTTTCTTTTTTATTTCAATATTTTTAACCTCGTATCTGTTTTAATATATCATTTCTTATATTTGTTTCAATAATTGTTTTTTTTTAAAAAGATCAATAATTAAAAATAATTTTATATCATAATATAAATTACTTGTCATAAATAAAAAATATAATTTATATGTTAAAAACTATTTATTTAATAAATTTTTTAATTATAATACAAAATAATTAAAAACATTTATTATAAATTTAATCATGTAAAATAAATTATTATTCTATGTATTAAGCATGTTAAAATGTTGGTTTAAAATATAAATTGAAATAATAGAAAGTTGATTTGATTTTAAAATTTGTACCATTCGTTATATTTTAATAGAATTGCAGTAATATTTTAAAACCATATACTATTTGTATAAAAAAAAAACCATATAATTATTTGTCATGTTAGTTGTTTTAGGTCACTTGATTCGGCGTCATAAATTCGAAAAAAGTGGGCCGAATCCAGCAGGTAAAGTGGTGGGCTTATATTTGAGAAGAAACCCGGCCCATCTCCCGAGCCCATGATTTATGAAAGCGAAACAACTCAAGAACCCTAGTTTGGTTGCTAATAAATAACAGGTGCAGAAGCAGAGAGTGTGGTAGGTTCGTCCGAGACCCGAAGCGGCAATGGTTTGTTCCTCTCTCACTCTTCTCTTTCTACAGCGATTCTCTGTTGTTTCTAACATTTTTCATTTGATTTTGGTACGCAGGGTATCGATCTCAAGGCCGGAGGTAAGAGCAAGAAGACCAAAAGAACCGCACCAAAGTCCAATGATATCTATCTCAAGCTCTTGGTTAAGGTTTGTTTCCAATTACTTTTGTTCTTCCTTTTTCTCTTTTGTGGTCGATGATGATGAAATCTAATCCCAGCTCTATGAGACCTTCACCATTGCAAGGTCTGTGATTAGATGTCTACGACATTTCTCTGAGCCACATTCTCTCAATCCTTTTGCTTTTATTTTTATTTTTATTTTATTTTTCAGTTACTGCGAAACCTTTTTTTTTTTTTTTTTTTTTTTTCTCGTTAGTGCAGACCCGCCGTAGCTTGCAAGATTAATGGATTCAATATTAATAAATGTGTAACTATGGCGTTTTGCTGCATTATAACTTTGTTTTCGTAACCCTAGAATTCGCTTGGCGATGCTTGATGTTAAATCTGTTAGAGGTGATTTTGTGTGTAACGAGAAAAGGTTCCTGATGATGTTTTGTCTCTTTTACCATGCTAATTCTGATTGCTTGTGATTAATACTTTTAGTTTACTATACTGAGGGAACGGGTCTATTTCATTGCTGCTTTTCATTATGAATTAAAAATGTACACGTTTTTGGAGAGACGTTGTTTTGGTTTTAGATGAATTTGTTCTCAAAGATTTATTTATTTTTCTTATCCTTGACTACTTGAATACTTATTTGAATGTATGTTTTTTGTTTACCTTTATGCATGCTTTAAATTAATCTGATTAGTTTTTGCGTGATCAGCTTTATCGCTTCCTTGTTCGGAGAACTGGCAGCAATTTCAATGCTGTAGTACTCAAGCGTTTATTCATGAGCAAGGTTAATAAGCCCCCAATGTCTTTATCAAGATTGATCAAGTATACAAAGGGAAAGGTTTGTCATTTTTTATTTTATTTTACTTTTTCATAGTTTTTGCAGTTTGATTTATTACAGTTTCCATTTTTCCATTGGTTTATTTTTTATTTTTAAATTATTCTATACAGGAAGATAAGATTGCCGTGGTGGTGGGGGCTGTAACCGATGATATTCGTGTTTATGAAGTTCCATCCTTGAAAGTTACAGCACTCAGGTTTACAGGGACTGCTCGTGCAAGAATTGAGAAGGCCGGTGGTGAATGCCTGACGTTTGAACAGTTGGCTCTAAGGGCACCTCTGGGACAGAACACGGTATGCATAGATGTCACTAGGGGCATTTACCATTTTCTGAATGATTACCTGTTGCTGCAATTGTCAAGTTATTTAAAGGTTAAATAATTTTTGGTTTATATGGGTATGACAAGTCTACTGTTTGGTCTATCGTTTTTAAAACTGTCATCTCGCCCTCATAATATTATTTTTTTATTGACCCTCTTTTAGTCTTTTGTTTGTTTTGTTTGTAAGGGTCTTTTCTGCTTGCACATTTTGGTCCCTCAAAATATCAAACAGTTCTCCATTTGGATTAAACAAATGAAAGAGTAATTTGTATGTATTTTTTTTCAAACTGAGGGTTTAGATGAGAAACATGTTTCCTGGAATCATAAACCTACGGAACTAGTTCTGTTCTTGATAATTGGGTGATATGCTCTTTGGATGAAGCTTTTAGATTATGGAATTTGTTGTCTCCATGATCCTTTGCAGAGGAATTGCCACCATACTATTGCAGTCATTAACATCAATTATGGGGTTTATTGTTAGAATCTTTACTTAATATTTATTGTGTTTGATCAAAGTTATACTCTTGATTTTTTCTGGTCTTTGAAAGGTTTATATGCTCTGCATTTCGCTTGTTGCCCTAGCTGTTTGTGCAAAGTTTTTTTTGTGTATTTTGATGTAACAAATTTGGATATTGCCAAGGTTAGGATTTAAAATAAAAATATTGGATGCAGGTACTTCTTAGAGGCCCTAAGAATGCTCGTGAAGCTGTGAAGCACTTTGGTCCTGCTCCCGGTGTGCCTCACAGCCACACCAAGCCTTATGTTCGAGCAAAGGGAAGGAAGTTTGAGAGGGCTAGAGGAAGGAGGAACAGCCGAGGATTTAGGGTTTGATGTGATAGTGTTGTATTGTCTACTGGTTACCTGTGAAATTCAATTTTTCCTTATATCTTAGACGGTGGAGGCAGTTTACTTGTTATTTGTGTTCTGATAATGATTTTCACTATGAAGTTTTCATTCTTGTCTCCTTTATTCTCCTCCAATGAATTGTTTTGTGAAAGTTTTAACTCAGTTTTGATGCTTCAGAATGGATATTCGCAAGTCATGTGCAGCATCATGCTTGTGCTTTATGAATTTAACAAGAATATCTCTTGATACTTATTAACTATAAGCTTGCCTCGCTTAAGTGCTTCCTTAATGTTTTGCCTTTTACGAAAACTCACTTCAGTATATTATACGAAATTCTAAAGGCAGACAATTTTCAACCAATGCTCGACGTAGACTCATCTGTAATGTTTTTCGGAGATATTTAGTAGTCAGTATTTTAAGGTTCTAATTTACAATCGCTGTAAGTTTTGATAACGTCATGGTTGATTGTTGAGGACAATTTATCCTCGCCGAGATTGCCATAAATTTTCCATTACTATAGAGAAATAGATGAGGATCCTCTCCCTTTGGCAAAGACAGGATAATGTCTTGTTTGAACTCTGGTAAATTATAGAATTTAATTTTAACTCCGGCAAATTAGAATCTAGTTGGGAAACTTGACTAAGAATACGAATATCGTTGATGACAAAATCTGGGTTCGAGACTAATATTAAACGCAATAAAGTTTTTATGATTAGTATGTTGAGGATTTAACACGTAGTTGGGGTTTAAGGACTTTAATCTCTCGCAATTTGCTTTCAACATTAAGATGAGAAATTGTCTTATTAATATGGCACAAACAAGAGTACATTCAAGCTTCAAAACTTACAATAAAATGGCCTCGGCGTTATAGTCTGTAATAACTAATAACATTTTATTCAATTCAACTAAATTTTAGAGTGCAGTTCTATATTATGATTGTTTGATGTGCCGTCCTCACCTTTAGAATGATTGTCAAAACTTCTTGATGAAGTGGTAAATGTGATTGCTGACATCCTCTGCTGCTTCTTGGTTGTTAAAATGTGCAACTCCTTCCTGCACTACCACTTCCTCCAGAGTTGGAACATCTTTCTTGAAACCACCGTTGTGGATATACTCTTTCATCCCCGGGGAAGTGTACATCAAGTCAGCGGAACCAGTAATGAACTTAACCGGTACATTCACAATTCCTATTTCAGTCCATGGTGCTGTGAGTTCCCAATTTCTGCAAAAGCATTGAAGGTTCCATTTACCACAATTTCTGCTAAATATCACAGATCTCCCCATTGTTTTAGGAATTTATAACCAGAATTTATTGTATGATTTGAGAGCATCACGTGTGTATGATCTTGGTTAATTTCTACATGTAATAATATTCGATAACATTATGCAGAGATTAATCGAAAGGATAGACACATGAGAAGTGTTAGTTTCTCCCCACACACCCACCCGTACATAAAAAGAATAAGATCTCACAAGTTAAGATTTCTGTAGTAGTTCAAGGCTCCGGTGAAGCCAGTCTTGTCGAATTTAGTAACGTAATAAAAAAGATCTTCTTCAGAGAGCCAAGAGGGAAAAGTGTGTGGGGCATAGGGAAATCCAGTTCTATGTCCCACTTTTGGAAAAACTGGGGGACCGTCAAAGTCTTGATGAACCAGAAGAAAGAAAACAAAGAGAACAACAATAATGGTCATCATCTCTAAAATTTGAATATGATTCTGAACCAAAATGAATTGAAAAATAGATTCCATAATAAGCCAATGAGTTAGTGGAAGGAATAACCGAACTAACTAACTGATCTGAAAATGAAAGAAGTTGTCAGACCGGTTTTGCGCGCCGTAAATATGTTCTTCAACAGATGCGCAGTGTCAATGCAAGCCATCGCAGCTTCCATCTTGCCTGGTTCCTGTTAGTCAATGGTAACACAAATGAAAGTGGTGTTATAATCTCAAATGAAACAATTATAAGAATATAATAGATTTTATACGATGATATATATATACATATCTAGAATTATAATTCGAAGCATACATGTATGTGATATGATATTTGAGATGTAACGGAAGGAAGACACAGTACCTGAAATCTGCAAATGTAGTAGTCATCTCCATATAAGGCTTGAAACATATCTACGGTCTTCTGGTGGGGATTTCTTCCGAGGAAGGGACGGAAAGGGACACTGAGGCAAACATAGGCCTTGATTCTGTCTGGTCGGAACAAGCAAAGGTACCAACCGATGATGGCACCCCAATCATGGCCCACCAGGAAGACTTGGTCAACACCCAGAGAGTCAATGAGCGCAACAAGGTCACCGACGAGGTGGAAAACGCTGTAGCTGGTCACCGGAGCAGGGGCATCGGTGTCACCGTAGCCTCGGAGATCAGGTGCCACTGCACGGTAACCGAGGGAGCTGAGAGCAATAATCTGGTGTCGCCAGGAGTACCATAGTTCAGGGAAGCCATGCAAGAACAGCACCACTGGCCCTTCTCCTTTCTCCGCAACATGCATCTTTATGCCGTTTACTTCCACCCTTCTGTGCACTATGCTCTCCATTCTCTCACACTCTCTCCCTCTCTTCCTTCTTCACTTCACCTGCAATTCCTCCAACCAAACTTGGTAGTTCCACAATCCAAACACTCCTCAACTTTAAATTTAATCTTCGAATGTTACGTTTTGGACAAGTTAGGATAGATGAACTTTTTATTCCAACCATAGTTTAGAGTTTTTTACATGAAAATGTTAAAAAATATGCATCATTCCATGACTTCAATTTTAAATTTTACTAGCCAAAGAATTTCTTTCAAAAACTTCAATTGTATGAAAAAAAAAATTGTTGGTTTTCAATTCGGATGAATTAACGATTTGAATATGACTAACACCTAATTGAATGATTCTCTTTTAAGCATTTTTTTTTGGGTAAGAAATTTTGTTTTTTAATACGAGTTTTCAATTCGGTCCAAACAATCTTCTCGAAAACTAGGTAAACTATTTTATAAAATTAAATCCTATACTAAAAAGTCTAATCTTGCTCTCCAAGTTCATATTTTCCTTCTCCTTTTGTCTCACTTTGGAACTAAAATTTTCATTCTCTTCGCTCCTCACTCATTTGCCCGAACTGCCTCTCCTTCCCAAAGTCTATTAAGGGTAAGCTCATTTCTCTTCTTTTCCTGTCTTATTCATTTTTGTACAATCCTTTCTCCTATCCCTCTCTATTTTCATTTCAAAACTTGATTTTTGGACCTAAATGTTCAGATTTCTTTGGTTTTTAGGATTTTTTTAGTTTTTTTTATGCCTTGTTTAGGAGAGGGAAAATGAGTAAAAAATAGGATGGAAATAGTGGAAAAAAAAAGTGAGATTATTTGATTGGAGAAAAATAAGAGAGTGAGAAAATAAAAGTGATGACCCCACCCTCTTATTTATTTAAATTTATTTATTTCTCTCTCTCTCTATATATATATATATCATATATATCTTATTTATCACATATTTCTTATCTATTGGACCGACATTAAATCCAGAGCTTTGCTGCCATAATCATTCGATGCATCCGACTTTCAAACTAGCAGTCGAAGGAAAAATAAAAAATAATAACCCAATAACATACAACTAATCTATCAAATGTCAAATTCATCAAGAAAATCTACTATGCTACTTGAGTAGATGATATCGTCTAAGTGAAAAAGTCATATGAAAAATGGATGACCTTTATCGATTATACTGATATCAACAAAATCAATCAACCCTTCACTTTATCAAATATAGAAGTGTAAGTGACCAATACCTTTATATCATTTATGGATGATTACTCTAGTTTTATTTTAAGGCCAAATCAAATATTATTAAAGAGAAAGAGAAGATCGAGTGTATTCATAAGATATGAAATTACACCACAACCAATAATATAATAGTAGTGATTACAAAAATTGATACACCAATATATAACAATCAAAGCCTAGTTTCAACAAAAATAATCCAAACTCAAGACAAAGATAATAAAGCTACCAAAATAATACAAGCTAGCAACACCTCAACGATAAAACAAAATCAATAAAATTCTAAAGTAGGTTGATCCCCTTCACAAAAAAAACTACCAGCAATATAATTAAGATAGAAGTTATTGCAAACACAAATAAGATTGGGCCTGCCAATTATAAAGAGAAAAAACAATATTAGAGTATTTAGTACGAATTCAACATTAGTCCATATGAAAAGTAGTTAAACTCCAATCCAATTCATACATTTCTACCATATAGAGTAAGCCAAGCTACAACCAAATATGAATTTTTTTTTTATGCTTATTCTACTTATATCAAATTTTTGACGCATGCTAAGGGAGAGGTGAAAATTGCCTTCATTATGAGTTATATATGAAAAAATCGTATATAGATAACTTGTTTTTTTTACTAATGAATAACTATTTTTTTTTAACATGTGAACACCCTTTTATGAAATATTATCTAATGGCATAAATATTATCTAGAGGAAGAATCTTGAGATATTAAAAAATTGAAGTGCTAGGAACGAAGTTAATTAATGTCAAATTATGTAAATCAATTTAAGTAACCCCGATAAAAACAGTAGTAATTGAGCAATAAGAATAACAGGAGGATTGAACCTTGTAAAAGAAATCAAAGAAATATATATATATATATAATATTCATATTTTATTATATTTTGAAATATATATTACATTAATTTTTTTTATAAGAATAAAGTATCAAATCATCTTAAATTAATATAAAATTTTGTATATATGATCTAAGAGTAAAAGACTTTCAATATAACAGTTGGATTAATAAAATTCACATTTAATATAAAATTATTGAACAGTGTAATTTTTAGTAAAAATTACAACAATGTTGTTTGAACCCTCCTTTTATATATATATACTTTGTCATTGTTAACTAATCACTGACAAAAATTATAGAATATTAATAAGCATGATGTTTCTTAAATAATATAGATTAAAATAAAAATATTCAAATATAAGAAAATTATATAAAAAAAATACAAATATTATAAGAAACTGAAATATTACAAAGATAAAAAAATTAAGTCCATACTTTCAAATTTTGAGATTTAAAATAAAAAACTAAAATAAATTTAATTACTCTTAAAACTTTTTTTTAAAAAATCATTTATTATTTTTTTTAATGATATGTGAACCCAATTCTCTTTCTAAGAAGAGGGCCACATATGACTTGTTTCTAATATGGTCAACTCAACTAAACACAGCGCCAATTTGACGAACTCGGGCGAGTCACTCGTCTAACGTAACTCGTCGCGTTTTAAAACTGGAGTGTATCATATATTTTCTTCGTTCTCTCATTCTCGTTCTCACACTCTCATGTCATGGCCTGCGAATTCCCCCTTTGAACCCCCCATTTTATCATCAGGTTCTCTCTTCTTCCTTCACGTCTTTCTCTTAACACCTTCATTGTGCATCACAAAACTTAAATTTTGTAACACGTGTGTGTATATATATTTATATATGTATGTGTGTGCAAATCATCTCAAAATATAACAACGCATCTTCTTGTATATATATGCACACATGTTTCTATGCTTTTCACGTTTCCAACACTTCCATTGAGGTTAACAAATGCTCATCCATCTTTGTTATCCATCATCATCATCATCTTGTTCCAATGTGTGTGTATATATATGTGCAGCTATGTGTGTAATAGTATCATAATTCATAGGATACCAAGAAAGAACCTTTTAAATATTTCTGTTAATTGGTGGAAATATATGGTTGTAATCTCGTGTGGGGTTGTGCTCAATCTTTGTGTCGTTGTACTTGTTATTTTTCTGGTTTCTATGAGTTTTCATATGCTTTTCCTTAGTTATGCACGTCTGAGTCTGTTTGTTTTATATTTAATTGTTTAATCTGCTAGCGTACTCGTTTGCTTTGATTGTGAACTTAGGTGTAGGGGGATCTGGGGTTTGTTATCTTATAGTTGGTTGGTGATCCAAAATTTTTCGCGTTGACAGCATTTTTCACAAAGGGTATTTTTACCCCATGCTAAGATCGCATACACATTATATGGTGTAATTGTATTTTAAGCTGTTTCAACCTGTGGAGAATGTTGTATTGGAGAAGGAATAGGGTAGGCAATTTGGCTTTGCTTTTCCGGCAAAGAGAATTGATAGGGTTTTATGTGAGTGCTTTTGGTAGCCATTGTTCAGAATTCTGTTGCTTTATCACAGTAGCAATTGATGGTTTTAATTTTAGCTAGCTTATAATTGCCTTGGCACAGAAAAAAAAAAAAAGTTTTGGAATTACTGATCAATGAAGAGTTCCTTCCCCAAAAGTTGTTCCTTTATTACATGTATTCTAACCCTGTCCAATACATTGACCTCTAAAAGCATCAGTGGGCAACAAACCAACTACAGATTGGGGTTTTAACTATACAACATACATGAATGGTTAAGATTGTTTTATCAGTTCTAATTTTAACCATCCATTTTAATTATAAGGTTGAAATTCACTCCTTTCACACTCTCATCTCTCACTTGATATTTGATAAGCTTACTATTTATATTCATATTTTTACACTTGACCAGTTTGAACTGATTCAGCAAAGTGCTAACACTCTGATCTTTTGTGCTGCCTTTCAAATCTGCCAGTTTGTTGTTACAGATTTACAGATTTATGATTTCTTAATACTCAAATAAATTGTCCATAGAGTTAATGGATAGTGCTTGAGTTTTAGAGAATTTAATAATGGTGACAAATTAAAGGTGAATGCATCGTGATATCTAATATTTTGTTAGATAGCTAAATATGCATGCATATATGGGGTTGAAAATTTAAAAAGAATTTTTTTTATAAGAATAAAGTATCAAATCATCTTAAATTAATATAAAATTTTGTATATATGATCTAAGAGTAAAAGACTTTCAATATAACAGTTGGATTAATAAAATTCACATTTAATATAAAATTATTGAACAGTGTAATTTTTAGTAAAAATTACTTGGTGACGATTTCTCGACCCTGTAATACAAACCTTTCTTTATATGGTATGCATTTAGAACATGTTGGACTTCCTCCTTTGTGTTGAAAGTCATGCCTTCAAATAGGCTGTCAGTAGAGTACTCGACGTCAACATGGTCAAGTGCATGTCTATACTCTGGGTCGGTGAAATCTGTTTGCAAATCAACATTATGCATGTGTGAAGGAAAATTGAATGTGCTTACGTGCTGAGGTTGTTGTACAACACGATCTTGTTCATCTTGTTCATTGTCTTGTTGGAGTCTTGCATCATCTTCCCCCTCACTAAATGGACCAACTTCTTCTTCAGGAACTTCAACTTTAGGGACTCCTTCCTATTGTTCTTCTTGTTGGACTCCAGATGTTAGGAGGTTGGTAAATGATCCATGTGTATGAAAATCGTCTAATGATGGTTGGTTTTGATGATAAAAAGGTTGGTTTTGATACGAAGAAGGTTCGTTATGATAGGAAGAAGGTTGGTTGTGATATGAAGAAGGTTGGGTTTCATAGGTAGAAGGTTGGTTGTGATAGATAGAAGGTTGGTTTTCATACGAAGAAGGTTGGTTGTGATAGATAGAAGGTTGGTTTTCTTCTTCAGAAATAATTGGTGTGAGATCTGCATATAGTTCAGCAGAAGTTAGATATTTAAGGGAACGAATCATTTGAATCATACCATGAACATCTTCATCGTCGGTCAGCTTGACAGCCCGGAAATGAAGCATTCCTTCACCTACCACTTGTGGATACCGAAAGTAAAGTTGATCAACTGAATGTGGTTGTGGTAATGAAATTCTTCTTTGGATCTTAGCTTTCAACGCATCAAGTGTGATACGTGATCTAATTGATAAAAATATTGTGTCAGAGGATACAAAAGTATCCCCTTGAGTTGTTTGCGTGATTTCACCATTGAAAAATACTAACACATTTTGAAAAATACTCACATTGAAAGAAGAGGAACACATTGTTGTAGACAAGGACTAACACACAGAAACAACAA